GCTCAAAAATAAATTGATTAATTAAAATAAAAGGCATTTTGGAGAAAAATACCTTTTTCTCAAGTATAATGTCCTGATGTCTTATAGAGAAAGTAATTCGCTCCATTACAAAGATTTCATAAACGTTATCATACCAGTTCTCTATAAGTAGGGGTGTCTGGTTTAAGCCATTTCTTGGTAATTGCTTTTCTGGCGGCTATACTTAGTGTGGCAAATAAACTAATTTAATATCATTAAGAGCTGACTGTAGAACAAGAAAGAGGAGTTAATCCCACTTAAAGATAATCTTTGTCTTGAATATATTTATTTCAATCTACGTATAGTCACTGATGTAAAAAAGATGAGAACAAACGAGACATCTGCTTTAACAGCAGTTTTCTCCATCTCTGCACTGTATATTCACAGCAGTTTTCTCCATCTCTGCACTGTGTCTTTCGGGTCTTTTTCAGGATATTCTACAGTAACCATATGTTTAAACTACACAAGCTCGCTCCTTTGAATTTAGAAGCAGCTTGAATCTGAGCTCCCTGTAGATTGCATAGATCCCCATTCTGTCACACTGCTCCTCAAATTTTATACCTCAGCCTTACTGAGATGATGTATGCTCCTGTGACCCTGAAGACTGCGAGCTTGTACATCTGTCAAGGATATTCAAGGGAAATGTTTCTCTCTCAAGACTAGCTAGAGACATAAGCTACCATGAAAACCCTCAAGATTCCCAGACAATAGAAAAACCAGCAAGCAATGCCAAAGATACTGTAGGTGTCAGAAATATTTCTCCCTCAGTCCGACATGTTTGTAGAGCAGGTTTGTTTAGTGCATAGATACACATACACGCACTGTACAGCAAAATCACTGCTCTTCATTACAAGTCCTTTAAAATTTCAGATGAGAACTACAGGTAATAAAAAGGCAGCATTGATGTTTAGATTGTGTTGATTAATAGCCTTGCTTGTATTTTGCACAGAAATCAGAGGACATCTGTGTGTTTATGTATTGTTGCTTGTTTCTGTAGTCTTGTATGAAACAAAGATACTAATTCAGATGTAATAACACATGGTTGAGTGCATGTTTGAATGCGAGGATATCTGTTTATGTGATTCAGAGAAGATGGTATTGACTGTGGTTAATATTAGCTAAGGTTTATTTAGTTTGCAGATACAGCTTTGTGTTCATAATTACAGCTTTCTAGTAATCATTCTTCTTGTCCTTCCCAGACCTCCCCAAGGCAGCCCTGAGGATCCTCAGCAACATGACCTTCCTGTTCGTCAGCCTGTCCTACACGGCAGAGTGTGCCATCGTCACCGCCTTCATTACCTTCATTCCCAAATTTATTGAGTCACAGTTTGGTATGCCTGCCTCTAATGCCAGCATATACACTGGTAAGTCTTTATTTTTTAACCATGGTTGTATCCCAGTCCAGTTGCTCCATGTTGGCTAGCTCCATATTACTAGCATTGTCAGGTGCGCATGTTGTGACTTTACCTGTAAAGCTTGATTTATGGTTCTGTATTTAATCTATATAGAGCCTACATCATAGGCTATGTAAGTGGCGTACCATTGTGAGAATTATACTTGTGCGCTGGCGGTGTTGCCTTGCAATCTAACCTGTTACTGGACAGGACATGTCATCACCTACAGCGCTAGGAGTCATGCTGACTTTCATTCAGTGATAAGCTTCCATTACGTCCCCCGAGTGTAACACACAAGTCTTTGATGACTGCAGGAGACATTCATCATACTGTGGCCTCATGCTCACACACACACACACACACACACACACACACACACACACACACACACGTACGTTACCCTCTGCTCTGCCTTGATTTGCGCCCCACATACAGCATGTATGGTGTACAAACAAGTCTAATCCTTCAATCATGTTAAGCCAGTGGTGCCAATACAACTAATCTCATATGAAGATTACAGAAAGGAGTGCCTGAAAGCTCGGTTATGGCTTTGAAAGTGACCCCCCCCCCCTTACATATTTCCTACTGTCTCATCACATCTGCCTGTTAGCAGAGTGCAAAGGGGGACGGGAAAACAGGTGGCGTAGTTGCCATAGCTACCCGAAGATGATGGTCAGGAATTGTTTTTATTTCAGAATGACTGAAAGATGAGAACAAACATTTCTTATTTAATGCAAGATCTCTACAAGACTAACACTGACATACACATGCACAGTTTTTCAATCAGGACCCCCTATAATGTTTCATATTAAAAAGCCTGACATATTAATCTTAATCATGTTGGTGTGACTAAAATACTCTATATTAGGTGCTTTTTGCACCTGATAGAGTATTTTACAGTAATTAATTCAGTGTTAACATTTTTCATGACACAAATTAGCTGCTCTATATTTGTGCTGTTTGCAACACTTCTGAAGTTCTTCATCTCACCCACTCTTATTTTCACTAATCTCTTTCACAGGTTTGATCATCGTACCTAGTGCTGGGGTGGGCATCGTGCTAGGGGGCTACATCATCAAGAAACTAAAACTTGGTGCCCGAGAGTCTGCCAAGCTGGCCGTGATCTGCAGCGGGGTGTCTCTACTCTGCTTTTCCACACTCTTCATAGTGGGTTGTGAGAGCATCAATCTGGGAGGCATCAATATACCCTACACCACTGGGTAAGAATGAATGTACAGGTAGACAGACATGGCTATAGGTGCATTGTGGCGTGAGAACACACAAATGGGCTTTTTGCAATAAGTATTAGAATGTATGTATTGCTTTGTAAGCTCCTTTTCCATGATTACATGAACCATTTTATGTATGAGGTACTTGGGATTTTGGTATACATTGGTTTCACACGCAGTGAAGGAGGTGTGGGCCTGGGATGCTGTCACTGCTCCCATCATGTGTTGTGGCATTGTGTCGGAGTGTGAATGAATTATTATTATCTGCTCTCGTGTCTGCACTCTGCCACGTCTATTTCTGCTGTTCAACACTACATCAGCAGCCAGGCTGCAGAGTTAACAGTCATCCAACGTGTCAGCCTTACAGACAGAACTGTAGTGTGGACATCTGTTGGCACACATGGTTATGAACACACTTGTACAGACAGACCTGTAAAGGCAGCATGCATAGTGAAACTGATTACAAATATAGTAAGATTATAACAGATCTACTGTTATAATATCCCCTCTGATCTCACCGTGCGCTGTCATAAATGTATCAAAAAAAATGTTCCTTTCAAAATTTCAATAAAACATTTAAAAGTTCAATTTGAAAACTTATGTTCCCAAATATTATGGATAATGTACTTTGATAATAGACTCGGCCACTCATATAGGCTGTATGGATGCTGAATACTTAGTGTAACTGCTAAACCTTTGTGAAATGTGCTTTTTGCATAATTAAAATGGCCAAAGTGATTATTTTCCAAATTGTTTGTCCTTTAAAGTCCTGTAGCCACCCCATTAGTCTTTGTTTTAGCCAGCATTTATAGAGGGGTCAACAAGAACGTGTGAGTCAGTGGGGCACTTCATTATGAGCAGCACTGGTCTCTAGTTACTGGTAGCACCTACAAGAGGCATGTTTAGCCAGAGCCCATCCTTTGTGTCACTCATCTGTACTCACACACTAGTCTAACCATGGTTCTCTCCCACTAACAGGCTGGAGACAGTAATCCAGAAACACACAAGTTGCTCTACCCTCTACATCATTTTCTAATGCATATGTTTTGTGTGTAGTCAGACAAAAGCTTAAAACAAGGCATTTGTTCCTACTGAACCTTTACAACGCTCACTCAGGGCTGTAAGCCTGCAACTCCAGGAGAGCTGACGCCGTTTGACGTGCAAACACACACACAGTCTCCAGCACAGTCTGGAATTTGACACTGTTCTGTTAGGACAAGCCCAAATGTATTTTCCTGGTGATAATCAATATAAAAATGAGGATGAGTATTAATTTATAGTATTGTGAAAAATGATGCTCCACTGATTTTAAAAGGAGCAGATTAATCTTACTTTGTAATATTCTTTGGGGGAAAAAGTAATGTATAAACATTTGTAGTGTTACCACCCACTATTATATGATACAAAACATTATTAAATTACTTAGAGACAGGTCCCATCAGTGTGGAGTGCATGTGTGTGTCGGCACCACCCCAGGATGTTCCCATGTTGCTTTACGAACCACTGGAGGTGCCATTTCCTCACCCCCTCGTCTCTGTCCTGTCATCACACAAGCTGGTGTGGAGCTAGATTAAGATAATTCATTGAAGGAATCACAATATGTGCAGGACATTGATGAGACACAAAGACTACAGTAAATATTGCAGAGAAGATTGGCAGCCTCATTGGCCTTAACCTGTCAAGGCCAATGAGACTAACCTAGATATATTAATTCTTAGAAAATAAGCTACTAATAAATATGGCTAATCATCTGCCTCTGGCTCCTGAAGTGAAAAGAAATCCCCAAAGTGTGAATTAAAAAAAAAAAAAAACTTGCCTTGTCAGTGCATTTTAACATTATTCAAAGGCTAAGAAAAACTAGAGTGACAAAGAAAGCACATAGAACCTGTACTGCCATGAGAAAATGCTAAATGGATATCGCCTAAACAAATGTTTTCCACTGTCTTTGTGTGTACAGTCCAACCCTGACAATGACCCACAGGAACCTGACAGGCAGTTGCAATGTGAACTGTGGCTGCAGGATCCATGAGTACGCTCCAGTTTGTGGCTCTGATGGCATTACCTATTTCAACCCGTGTCTGGCTGGATGCAGCACTGTGGGCAATGATAGCGCTGGGGTGAATGCACAAAACACACACACTTGCTCTGTTCCTTTAGTTTTCCTATTGAACAAATACTGCAACAAACCCCTTTATACAAGCACAGTAAAAATGATGGCGTTTTGGAGAACACTGCTGAATGGCATCAATCATAAAGGATAAACAAAGATCTATTCTGTGTACATCTCCCCCCCATAGCTTTGAAAGTACAGGAAGTGTCTGACTCCACAACAAAGTCAGTTATAGCAACAGGAAAGGAAATGTCTAGGATTCTTTGTCCAATTCACTGATTGAGCCACATTGCTGGAGTCACCCACTCTGTCCGTGTGTGTGTGTCTGTATCTACATTAGACTTTAACATATCCATAATCTTTTAATAGAATTAGCCTCAGATTTTAGTTTAGGCAGGATACTGTCCCCATCTGAATGGATAATACACATGTTGTCTTTGACTCCAGAATAGGAACTACACTGACTGTGGCTGTGTGCAGAGCAGACAGGTCATCACTCCATCCTATGGCGGCCAGGTCAACCAGCTCCAATTGGTCATTGTTAAAACCTACCTGAATGAGAACGGCTATGCTGTGTCGGGGAAGTGCGACCGCACCTGCAACACGCTCATCCCTTTCCTCATCTTTCTCTTCATTGTCACTCTCATCACTGCCTGTGCCCAGCCCTCCGCTATCATTGTCACACTCAGGTAAGGGACCACCTCTTCCAATCACTGTCACAGGGTACAATGTGGAAGATACATGCTGTTTCTCCTCTTCTTTCAGGTCTGTTGATGAGCAAGAGAGGCCTTTTGCTCTTGGGATGCAATTTGTCTTGCTCCGAACTCTCGGTAAGTTCCTGACCATTTGCAAAACAACAGAACCACCGTCTGTCCACTGAGACAAATGAGGCCAAAGCCACTATGTCACTGAACATACTCAAAAACTGGTTAGAGTTTGAGACTGGGACACAGTGAACGTCTTTTTTAGCTTTTAACTTTTCTGTTCCTCTCCAGCCTACATCCCCACACCCATCTACTTCGGTGCTGTGATTGACACCACCTGCATGCTGTGGCAGCAAGATTGTGGCGTGCATGGCTCCTGTTGGGAGTATGACGTCACCTCATTCCGCTTTGTCTACTTTGGCCTGGCCGCCAGCCTCAAGTTTGTCGGCTTCGTTTTTATATTCCTCACTTGGTACTCAATCAAGCACAAAGAGGAGCGAGCTGAGCGCTGGCGACAGCACCTGCCACCTCTAAGCACCGTCAGCGAGTTCATCTGCCACGCCGGGGGCCAGAAAAGCCACGCCCGCACCCACTCCTGCCCTGTGTTCATCCCACCTCGACCAGACCCGCCAGCTGCTCTGCTGCTCAGTCATGGCCACAGCAGCCTCAGTTGCCCTGGCAATGCTCTCAAAGCAATAACTCCACCCATCCTGGTGCCACATCACCACAGAGGCTCCGCCCATGTCTGAGACCATACCAGTTCCCTCTCTGGGATGCGACGTGTGCCTTTCAGTTTGTATTTCTGCATCACACAGTGTCTGACACCGATCAAACACCAGGTGGGGCTCCAAAGCTGATGTTAGACTGACAGGCAGGAGACCCAGCGATGTCCAACATACTGATGGAGCTACTCATTGGTGTTTGATAGCAGGAGACTGACAGGTGTTCTTTTATTCTGAGCACATCATTCGCTGCATCCACACAGAAAGTCAGGCCTCCGCTTCAAGGATTAGATGGTAAAGACATCACTGGTGCTACTGTTATAAGGCAGGGCATTAGTCTTTCTACAGACAGATGAGTCACGATCATTATGGTGTTTAAAGCACAACTGACAAACCTGTACTATGCAAGAGCCTTTGTATAGCTGCTCTTTTCTCAGTACTGTACAGCTTCCTCTGTATTCCACACCTGATCCTCTTCTCTGCTCGCTTCATAGGCTACATGCCACCATGTTGTTGTCAGCACCATCTACATCTTGCATTTTGAACCATTCCGCCTGTTCTTTTGTCTGGTTAACACATTTGCATCTTCAGAATTTTTTTTTTTATTCGCATACCTCTGTTTTCTTCCTTTCTCTCAACTGTGCCTCTCAGGCTGTCTCAGCTAGTCTAATATACACAGCCTTCTACCAGGGTAAATGTTAGCTGCCTAAAAGTCTGTCACATTCTGCTTTGTTGCCCTCAGATTTTGTTTGGGAACAACTGTCACTGATCCTGAGTCACTGCGCCCAGTAGTCAAAAGTTTGACCTTGGCAAGGTAATTAATGTAGCTTAAAACATAGCTTTGAGATTTTTCAAGTTGCTTTTAATATACTACTGATGTGCCATATGTACGTGAAAATAGGTCTTTGTTTCTAACGTCTCCTGCTCTCCACCCTGACCCTGAAGGGTTTCACCCAGGTTGTGATCGCACAAAAATGAGGGACAAAATATACCACCCTCATTCTGTGCAAAAATGCACTCCAAAGTTGTCTGATGCTCAAGTTAAGCTAGCAAGCTAACTAACTGGAGGCAGTAAGTTACCATCTATTTAAGACCACTTCAACTCCATTTGTTCCCTGGAAAGTCATTTCTTACCAAGCTGTGGCAGAGCTCCCTTCCATTCCAGCTGTGAAAGTACAAACTCACTTCAGAGGCAAGTCTGAGCACAACTTGAAAAGTAACCAGCACCTAACAACAACAAAGCTACATGTGACTATTAGAATGTACCCTCCACCACAGCTCGGCAAGGAACTACTATTCTGGGAGGCAAAAAGAGTCAAATCTGTCTTAAATAGACCAACTTTAAAAGATACGGACACAAGCTAAGCCTCAGAAAACCTTGATGCATTTTTACACAGACCAAGGGTGGTGTATTTTGTCCCGTTTCTTACAGCGTAATCACATTGTGTGGAAATATTCAGGGTCAGTGTGCAGAGTAGGAGAAGTTGAAATGACAGATCATTTATGACCTTACATATGAACACATCAATATTGCATTAAGACCAACTTGAAAAATCCCAAACCTGTCCTTTAAAGCTGACCATCACCAGTGGTATAGCGTTGAATGACTACCGTGTTAATTCAGAGGTTGTCATCGAGTACAAAATATGTTTAATTAGACAAAAAACTACTTTACTAATCGGCCAAATAAACAGGAGAAGAGAATTTAAAAAAAGTTTCATCGATGACCATGTGCTGAAGCTACCTAAACATGTGATCGTACATGGAAACTACAAAGGAAATTTTAGAAATGTGGCAAAACAGTTTTAACAAATTTGACTCATAGCTTTACAAGTAAAATGAATTTAATCTATTCCAACAATCATCAATAGATTAAAAGATGCATCATTTTGGCTTTGTATTGTAATGGCTTCTCCATTCCAATGTTCATCAGATGTACATAGTCGTTATCTAGTAATGTAGGCTTTAAGAAATAGTGTAGCAAGCATGTAAAACAATGAAACTACTTTTATCGTCATGAGAAATTTGACTTTTGATTATTCAGTTCCTGGTTGTTTGGGGCCCTCTAATGGACAGGAGCATTTATTACTATATGCAAAGGCCAGTGAATGTTCTGTTTGCAAGACCTACCGTCTTAGTTCCGAGGTTAAGTATGATTCACTGCCCTGAATATAGCACTCCAGTTTACCAAACGTATACCTAAGCAAAAGATGATCGATTTTCAATGACATGTATTTTAAGATTTAAAATTTTGTCTACTAGTTAACATTCACACAAAGTTCTGGTAAAGGAAGAGATTAGATTTGTTTTTAAACAACCCGCACAAGCCCCAACTGTTAACAGTTTTGGCAAATCTGTGGCATGCATTTTCAAAGTCAGATATTTAGGGAGTATTTTTCCTTTGGGAGAGATTAGTTACTGTATTTCATAGTCTGTTCAGTAAGAATTAATTTGTTACTAAATGTTTGCAAATGAATGGAGAATCAGATGCAGTCAATACATTTCAAAAGTTAAGATTCATTATCTCCCAGGTGAAAACGATCACGTCTGCAGCGGCTAATTTTACCTCAAATTATAAAATGTGATCGTTGTGTAAATACTGACAAAGCAAATGTGTGTATTACAGAGCTCATGCATAGTTAGAAATATATTTGTAAGCTAACCCATGACATTGTTCCTTAACTCATGATGAGAAATATGAATTATGCTACAAAAAAAAGGTGGATTTGTCCTGTGGCAGTAATAACACTGGAGTTCAGAATTACTGTATGTTATGGGGTAGAAAGGGTTACTGAAATGCTTTGTTTTTTGTCGAGGACTTCACAGTGGAGTTAACTGACATGCTGAAAATGGCCTGACTACTGTTTGCTTATTAGAATTCACAGTCATGCTATCCAAATGACTGAATTGCTACTGACAGACAACTTTAGATTGACTGCAAAATTAGACTAACACATTTTCCTTTCATCAGTATTTGAACTGAAAGTGAATTTCCTGTACAGATGCTGTATTCTGAAAGTTGAGCTCTTATTTCTGTGTGTTCCTCAGGAGCAGAAGTCTAATTGTTTGTGAACATTTGGTTTACAAATGCCTTCAATACTTGATATTTGTCATTAAAAATGGAAAAATCAAGTCATGTCAAATTTTATTTATATGGCCCAATATTATAAATTAGCTTCAAGGTGACCTTACAATCTGTACAACCTACAACACTTTGTCCTTAAAACCTTGAACTGGATAAAGAAAAACTCCCTAAAAAGCCCATTTAATGGAGGCAGAATGTGGATACTTGAACTTAGCCTGACAGGACCTATTGGTACCCGAGAGTTTGGGCCAGGTCAGAACAGAAATTTTGAAATTATGTTTGGATCAGGTTCAGACAAGGATCCAGATCCACATCTAAATGAGGCAACAACAGCCAGAGGGGGGAGAGAGGGAGAGGATCCAGGACGACCAATGGTCCAGCACAGAGAACCTGAGTGAAAAGAGAGGACAGGGAGAAGTAGTGAGGGAGGCAAGCAAACAGCTTGAACATATTCTCTATACTTAGCCACACAAAGGCTAAAGTTTGGCTACATATTAAAAGGAATGTGGGGTTATGTTTGTTGTTACTCATTATCTCATCATGAGAGAAACAGCAGCAGACAGAGCACGCCTGTGATTCAGTACTCACTTGAGACAGTGAAGGACGAAGGTTTCCATTTTTGACTTCCACCTTTTGTGCTCCACTCCCTTACAGGCCTGGTTCATCAAGAAACCAGGCCGTAGACTCTAGCAGAAAGAGGTACAACTGGCAGGAAACTAACCAGAGCTGTGTTTAAGCAATTGGTACCATTTTCAACAGTGTCACTGCAGTGACAGGAGCCAGTAGTTCAAGTTGATGGACCAGGGTTTATTTATCAATAGCTTCATGGTTTTCCTGAAACCAGAGTTGTTCTAACACAATAATAAAAAAAAAGAAGTAAAAAAAGGACAGCATCAGGTTTGTGCAGAACCTCTTAAGGAAGGTTAAAACATTGTCTTCAATGGTCTTGCAATATTTAGCCTTATGTAATGTTTGATGCATATTTTACTATACAGTCAGAGGAAAAGCTGTAAGCACTGTGCCACCATATGACCAGCTTTAAGGGACTATACAGTTACAGTTGAAATGGACTGGACATGTGCAACTCTATACTTTCGATTATCAAAGCACTATGCCGTATACTACAAAATGAACTGGTGACATTTCCCCAAAAAAGTTACATAATTGAGCGTTTTCTAGGCCCTGTGACTGTGTAAGCATTTGCTAGTGATTAGAAAGGACCACTTTACTCATCTTAAAAATAGTGTGAGGTCAAAGCTGGGGCAGAGGTGCAACTAATCAGTAAATTGTGCCAAATCTGGGCCTTTTTCCTGCCGGTTTAGCGTAAAAGATGGGTTTGCCACAGCTAGATAATATAAATTCTGTCAAGTTACTGGTTATAACTTGTATACTGTCCAGTGATTATCCACATTTTCTCATACAATTACTGCCATATTTCAATGATGTAACAAGAAATGCTAAATAAAACTCATAGCAAAGTAAATATTTGTGAAACAGATGTTATGCTGATTATGTAACTTTTTCAGAAGTGACAATCCATTACTTAAGGTTTAAAAGCAGTCAGTAGAAATAAGCATTTCATAAAATCTGATTTAACAGTGAACACCAGTTTCAACACTGCAAGTGGAGGGCAAGAGTCAAAAGTGCATTTGGGATAAGTTTTGCCATTAACTAATTGGAGAGTAGTTCCCACTGGAGAGCCCTGTAATAGGGCAGGTTTATGATTAATAGATTCTTAAAGCTGACTATTACTAACCCATCCATCCAAATGTTGAAACGGCTTCACCAGTCACTTGTTTTTCATAAAAACAGTAATAAGTATGTGGAATTAGTTTTAATGCCAACACCTAAATTTAGCTCAATTAAGGCCTTTTCTAGATATACATTTGAAAAAACATAACACTGTTTACTAATAAATGTAGGCACTTGTAAAAAATAAAATAAAATTTAATACTCATACAACTCTGAGTTACTTAGGTTGCATTACTTGCCATAGACAAGCCCATCTCTCAGTCACTGTGTCTCTGATTACTAGCAGCTCGTTGGCTGGCCAGCATACGTCTGCCTCAGAGGGTCCGATTCTGGGGTTGAGGCAGAGAGCCACTGCCTTCGTAATCCAAGGTAAGGGGCAGTGCTGATTGAGACAGCACCTGTAGTAGCACTCCAACACTCTGTGGAGCGCTAGTCTGTGTGGTGGTGGGGCTCCCAGTGGTGCTGGCCTGCACCTTGGGCCTCACTGTCTGTGGGAGAAAAGGGAGGTAGCCCTGGGCCTGGAAAATGTCCTCTTCTTCAGGGATCAGGCGCAGCCCAAGATCCTGCAGGCCAGTTGGCTCTTTGTGACCCAGGCCAGTTTCCAGCTGGGCCTGCAGGCTGTTGTAAGTACGCAGTAGGTTGTCGTGTTTTGTCTCCAGCTCTGACAGTCCATTGCCACTAAACATATCTCCTTCCAACTCCTCCAGCTGCTGTGCCCACATATTGCTCTGAAAGATAACTCCATCTCTACTTGACTCTGATGATGATGATGCACTCACTTGTGATGCTGACACCCTAGGTTTGTCTATGGGTGAGTCAGGGAGGTTGTTGACACCAGATTCCAGTGCGTGCCTAGTTGTGGGCGGTGCTAATGGTGTACTGCTGGGGGCGGAGGAGGTGAGGTGAACCTCTGTGGCCAAAGCTGGCCAGATGTCAATGGCTAAGTTCAACTCTTCTCCACTGCCCTCCTTAAGGCCTCCACCCCCGGACCCGGAGCCCAGCTCTGGCAGGGTGGGGTCATCAAGCTTACGGGTTTGGTTGAATTTGCTAAAAACGTGTCGCAGTGCAAACATATTATCCACATCCTTCTGGAAGTTGACCCAGTTATCTGGGCTGGGGCTGTAGTCAGGCCTACATTCATAAAGGCTTTCGTTTATGCTATAGAGATCCTCCAGTCCCTGCCAGTTCACGTCCTCATCTGTCAAGTTGGGTAGTTTAACCCTGTAGTCCGTCCCATACTGGCTGTGTGCTGCCAAAGAGAAAGAAACAGAATAATGTAAGGATCAGGAGTAGCAAAAAACAAAGAGCTGTTTTCAAGTTCACTCAGACAGCATGCAGTCATCCCCCAGCATCTGCCTCTCACTAAAGCAGCCAGCTCCTGGGGGTTCGAGGCCCCAAGCAACATACAGGAAAATTCACACACGCTACAAAGCAGCATTAGACAAGCTAGATAAACACGGCACTCACAAAACTGAAGCCATGAGTAATGCAAACACATGCTGCTCTAGAAAATCTCATTAGAAAGACAGACTGGAAATAAAAATATTTAATAATCCATCACAATAAGACTAGCATACTAATCTGCACAACAAAAATATAATGGCATAGTTAATGATAGGCCTGGACTGGACTGAAATGTAGAGTCAGGCAACCTGGAATAAAAGAACTTAACAGCGGAAGATGATCAACAGGAAATCAGAAAATAAGACAGTGAGCTCGTTGCTGAATGGTTTATCCACAGAAAAAACGCTATCGGAAAAAGAAGAAAATAAAAGCAAATCATGGCAAAAGGCTAAATCAGCACCACTTCTGAACAGCTTTCCTTGTGAGATCAGGTTTCTTGTTATTTCTGCAGCTAAAGAATGGAGATGGGTTGACAGACTCACAGGACAGAGAGGCTTGGCCTCCTCTTTGACCACTTTCGATGCTGCTGTTGCCTGGTAAGCAGATGCCAAAAACGGAGGTCAAAAAGGCAGAGGTCAGTCGGAGGACAGAGAAGTCCCATCAACTCAAATGTCCATTTGACCACCAGCTAATGACCATCGGCAAATATGAGGGGTATTCTGAATGTTACGTTACCCTGGAACACTACAGAGATGAAGGCTACTTGTGGGTATGGCTGACATGGATGGTGATATTAATAGAATAGTTTGACATTTTGGGAATTTCTTTTTTTTTTTTTTAAGAAAGTGGGCTGAGACGTTTTATACCACTCATGTCTGTTAAGTACATGTATGCAGCTATAACCACGAGACAGTTAACATAGCAGCTAGCCTTGTAGCCTGGTAGAACTGCAAACTTTTGCTTTTACACTGCACCTTTTGTACAGACCACATTAATAGTTAGCTGGTACGGTGCTGCTAAGCAGATTTCTTTTACCTTTAGATGGAACCAGGCTAGGAAAAGATAACCACCTGCTGGCTCAAGCTTCATACTTAGCATATACATAGACTTGAGATCTACTGAATTCTCATCTGATTCTCAGCATGAAAGCTTTTAAGCTCATTTCCCAAAATCTCAGACTCCTTTAGGCTTTTATGTAGAATGTGATGCATGAGGGGGATGATACAGTATCATGCATTGTCATTCCCGTGCACTGATGCTTGGGTTGGCCTCAAGTAGAAGCAGATATTGAATCCCTCCATAAAATGGCTTCCTTTTTTTTCTAGCCATTCTATCCTGCAAACAGCTAGAAAGGATCAACTCAGACTATACTGAAACATCAGCAACTCTCAAGCAAAGGTGTGAAAATATGCAGCACAAAATATCTTAACTTCTGACAGCAGATAAAGGTGAAGACCTATTGTGTGCACAGAGGTGACAACAAATGAAGCTGCTTAAACAAGAAAAGCCAACAACAACATCTGTAAGCATGTTCCCAGCATGCAGCCACAGTTCAGATCATGTGCCAGTGCTCCATGGATGGATGTATTAGTAGGAATGAGGCAATTCAGCCCATGCAGGAGTTAAAGAAAAAGCCACTGAAGAAAAACAAAAATTGGTGGATACCTGTGTGGCTCATAGCTTCCTCCATCTTTACCTCCTGATCAGAAAAATAAAAGCAATTGATTGTTAATGCTTTGGCTGAGGGAGACGTAAAAGGGAAATAAATAGATCATTCACACTGAAGAGTTCTTCATGCACAGTCGATGCTCCCTATGGAGAAATGCAATTATTGGATGATCAGAGGGAGGAATAAGGATAAGAGAGATTTCAGTGGAGGCAAAGTTCTGAAAGGTCAAGGTTGGAATAGATGGGGAGATGGTGGTTTGTGAGGTGGGGAACTTGGCAGGATTTGTTGCTGATTATAGCAGTGATGCGTGACAGGCTTAAAAAATGAGAGCCTCATTTGCTGTTGATGACAGCATCATCAAAAAATAAACAAAACAAAACAAAACAAAACCCATATCTCTAACACTCAGTGAATCACAAAGGGCCCGGATGTACAATAGTAACATGTACTATAAAATACAGATGTATGCAGATACCAATCCCAGCGAAGTGAAGGGCGTGGGCTGAGAAAGATCCAAGTGTGTGCGCACTTGTGTATTTGTGTTATAGTAAAGAAAACATTGAACACACATCAACAAAGGACACACAAGACTGTGATGATTCCTTAACCTCCACCTAAAATGTCAAAACACATCATTCAGCTCCCAAACACCACAGCATGCAGCTATGTGCTAAACACACGCACGCACGCACAGATTCAAAACACAGCAAAAAACTAGACTGAAATCTCAGTCTTGCCTATTACATTACCATGCCAGGAAGTACTGCTAACCATGATGTATCAGTCCAACATGCTCACTGTATATTATATGACAATAAGGTAGGAACAATTAAAAGGCTGAAAGTGAGTGAGTTTTACCTGTATCCAGGCCTTTAGGGCGAGGATTACACTGCTTGTACCCTTGACAACTCCGCATCTCCATGAGCTGGGCATGGAGTGTGTTCAGTACGTCCCGATCCACTTCATACACTGCGTTGGTCAGCTGCAAAATTTCAGAATCAGAATCAGCTTTGTTGGCCAGGTGTGATGGACACATGAGGAATTTGACTCTGGTACATCAGCTCTCAATGTGCAAACAGTAAACCAGCATAAGGCTGTGTAACAAAATAGCAGTACTTCTGTCAGCGCCGGAAGTTTTACACAGTCATTAGTGTCATAATGTTGTATGTGGAAGAGTGTGTGTTTATGCATGTAAAATTATGAGTCACTGTTGCCACAAAACAAAACTTAAACAATTACTAATTAGACAATGAAAAGCAGAAACAGAGCTGAATGGCAATAGACTATGTTCACCCACCTGGTATGGGTCACTGTTAAGGTCAAAGTACTCCAGGAAGCCAGTGGAAAACTCACAGAAGAGTATGTTGTGGGTCTCGTTGATGGTTCTCAGGCACCAGTAGGTGTTGTTGTTGGAGCTGGTGCATGCACAGAATCCACCCACTGGACAATAATAAGGGACCGGTCTGTTTTATTACAAATACTAATGTCTGAATAGATCTCAGTTGCTAATAATTCCTTGTACTTGAACTAGTGCGGGAGACGAGTATCATTAATTAGCACAACATGTTACATTTATCACTTTTGCTAATAATTCATTTATAATGAAAACTGGAGCTTCATAAATGTGACTGTCAGGAGCTTAGACATACATGTCCAAAAGGGAGCAGTCTGCCAGTGGTCATTGTTGTGTGTGAAGCAAGTGAGGCCAGGCAGACTGCAGTCGTCTCCCTTCCTCTGCCGCTTCTTCTCCTTCCTTTCCTTCTTCCGTCGCCGGATCTCATTATACAGCTGGACCTTCCCATCTATTTCCTGCGCAGCCTCCCTGTGGGACAGAAACATGAGAAGATTACAAAACAGTGTGATGCAAGGATGACATCAGCCCCTATCCTCTCTGGTGCCAGTAATCACAGTGGTGGAGGATCTGGAGAAGACTTCCAGAAGGCACTGCCAGCGCCAGGATGTGACAGTGTACACTATGTCGTTTTCTCTCGGATGACATTCTAGCCACTGTTCCTTCTTCCTCCCCTGCCTGAATATACAACAGGCACTGCAAAAAAGAAACAGCTGTTTTGTATTGGCTTAATCTGTTCACAGTGTTTCCTGGTGCAAGCTGATCACTGTGATTGGGGGGGGCTGAACGATTTCCCCTCTGTTGAGTCATTTCATCTTTCCATGCGATTCAATCATTTCCAGACACGAACACATAAAACAGGTCCCTGGCCGTACATCAGCTTTCTTTATTTAAACTCCATCCATGGACTAAACACTCAAAGACCATTTCTACATGACATGCTTCCTTCACAAACCCGTGTACAGGGTCACAAACATCAACACGTCACACCACAAACACATGCTAGACTAGTCACCTGGGATCTACTAGGTCATCTAAATTTAGTGTGAAAGTCACACGTTTAAACCTTTCATGCAGAGATCATGCAAATATCCAAAAACAATTACAGCAATGTACAGGGAAACAACATCATAATACACAGTATTTGCACACTTTTATGGTAAGCATTAATAAATAATAAAAGGGGCAACACTAAATGGGACAAACCTATAATTAAA